TTTTTTAAACATACTGTCACCCTAGCAGTACAGTGTCACCATAGTGACACTGTACTACTTGTGGGGGATGATTTTTTTTTTTTTTTTTTTTTTTTTACACGGACTGTTTTTATACCCATAAAGGCTATAAAAGCAATAATTTCTCCTTCTCTCTGGCTGCATTCTTGCAGCCATTGAGAAATACTGTGTGAGCTGTGATTGGTCAAAGCTTGTCACATGGTACAAAGCTGTTGTGAATATCATGTGATCTCTGTGATCATTCACAGATTTCACACGTAGTAAGCAATGATGCCAAAGTGACATCTTACTTACTACTCTTCAAATGATCACTGATTGGCCAATCAGTGATCACATGATCGGGACCTTGCACAGATGTCTCTTTGCTGGACGGGGCTTTCCCTTCTTGGACTGGGCTGTCTTTTTGCTGGACCCAACTGGGCAAAGAGACAGCCCCCATCCACCACCGCTACAGACCTGTCACAGTGTGTCGGCGGTTGAAGAAAGGCCACCGTTGCCCCTTCAGTGCAGCGGCCGGCAGAGGTGTCCCTGTGTCAGCGGCGCTTCCTACTTGTTACCGGAGCTGTCAATTCCGCACCTCCTGTCGGCCCTGCTTTAGCCACACAGCAGGAGGTGAGCGGCGGCCACAGTCTGTATTAGCACCATCCAGACCGCGGTCGCCGCTTACCTCCAGCGTGACACACCCCTCCCATACCCCAATGGGCCCCATGTACCCGGTCCCCATAGTGACACACCCCTCCCATCCCCCAATGGGCCCCACGTACCCGGTCCCCATAATGACTCATCCCTCCAATGGGCCCCACGTACCCAGGCCCCATAGTGACACACCCCTCCCATAGCCCAATGGGCCCCACGTACCCGGTCCCCATAATGACACACCCCCTCCCATAGCCCAATGGGCCCCATGTACCTGGTCCCCATAATGACACACCCCTCCCATACCCCAATGGACCCCATGTACCCAGTCCCCATAGTGACACAACCCTCCCATAGCCCAATGGGCCCCATGTACCCGTTCCCCATAATGACACACCCCTCCCATACCTCAATGGGCCCCATGTACCCGTTCCCCATAGTAACACACCCCTCCCATAGCCCAATGGGACCCATGTACCTGGTCCCCATAATGACACACCCCTCCCCATAGCCCAATGGGTCCCATGTACCCGGTCCCCATAGTGACACACCCCTCCCATACCCCAATGGACCCCATGTACCCAGTCCCCATAGTGACACACCCCTCCCATACCCCAATGGACCCCATGTACCCGGTCCCCATAGTGACGCACCCTCCCATCCCCCAGTGGGCCCCATGTACCCGGTCCCCATAGTGATGCACCATCCCATCCTCCAATGGGCCCCATAGTAATGCACCCTCCTATCCCCCAATGGGCCCCATAGTGAAGCATCCCTACCATTCCCCAGTGGGCCCCATGTCCCCATAGTGACGAATCCCTACCAGCACCCATTGGGGCCCATGTACCTGGTCCCCATAGTAACACACCCCTCCCATGGCCCCCATAGTGAAGCATCCCTACCATTCCCCAGTGGGCCCCATGTCCCCATAGTGACGAATCCCTACCAGCACCCATTGGGGCCCATGTACCTGGTCCCCATAGTAACACACCCCTCCCATGGCCCCATGTACCCGTTCCCCATAGTAACACACACCCCTCCCATACCCCAATGGGCCCCATGTACCCGTTCCCCATAGTAACACACCCCTCCCATAGCCCAATGGGCCCCATGTACCTGGTCCCCATAGTAACACACCCCTCCCATACCCCAAGGGGGCCCATGTACCTGGTCCCCATAATGACACACCCCTCCATACCCCAATGGGCCCCATGTACCCGTTCCCCATGACACACCCCTCCCATACCCCAATGGGCCCCATGTACCCGTTCCCCATAGTAACACACCCCTCCCATAGCCCAATGGGCCCCATGCACCCGGTCCCCATAGTGACACACCCTCCCATCCCCCAGTGGGCCCCATGCACCTGGTCCCCATAGTGACGCACCCTCCCATCCCCCAGTGGGCCCTATGTACCCGGTCCCCATAGTGACGCACCCTCCCATCCTCCAATGGGCCCCATAGTGACACACCCTCCTACCCCCCAATGGGCACCATAGTGATGCATCCCTACCATTCCCCAGTGGACCCCATGTCCCCGGTCCCCATAGTGACGAACCCCTACCAGCACCCATTGGGGCCCATGTACCTGGTCCCCATAGTAACACACCCCTCCCATAGCCCAATGGGCCCCATGTACCTGGTCCCCATAATGACACACCCCTCCCCATACCCCAGTGGGCCCCATGTACCCGGTCCCCATAGTAACACACCTGTCCTGCACTATAGACCACTATGGTGTGAACATTCTCAGCCTCCCTGCCCTGTACAGTACATTCCTATACAGAGGTATGACAGAGCCCGCACACCCCTCCCCCGTACAGCGGGCTCTGGAGAGCCGGGAAAGGATACTGTCCTGACTCCAGTACGCCGCTCCTTCTCCCTGTCCGCACTCCGCCATCTTCAAACACCCGCCAGCTCTGACCGCCCCAACAACCGTCTCCTAGCCCCGCCCGCCTCCAATCCCCATCACTTCATTGGTCAGAGTTTACCCTCACCTTTTCTCCTATTGGTTCTCTCTTACGACTCCTCAATCAGCTGACATGTCCGACGTTGGAGACGTACAGGCTGTGGTTCGCGTTGCATTGTGGGCGTGGTAGTTCTGTGACTTGCCGCTTTGCTTACCGCCAGGAGCGCACGGACTACAATGCCCGTCATACAGCGCGGGGAGGGGACCATTCCCAGCATTCAGCGCGGGAGGGTTGTGTATCCTGGATACGGCTGAGGCGCAGAGCTGGGGTGGTGTATGGGGGTGAGAGCAATGGGGTTGTCATCGTCATCCTCGCTGTATGTGGTGGGAGGAATGGGACAGGCCTGCTCCATGCAGCTCCGATAGTCACCTATTTCAGATAGCAGGAGTGGAAGGTGCATACACAAACGTCATGGATGACAGCTGACATGGATTTAGATGCGATAGCTGCATTCGTTTTCTTTTTTTTTTTTTCTGGTGATCCTGCTAATAAGCCATTGTCCAGGGTGACAACGCTCATTGTGCTGTATCTATGGAGGAGCAGCGTTGTCACCCTCAGCTGCTCTCCTGATTCGGATTACAAACCCCTCCCCTTCTGCTCATCTACATAACATGTGGGAGGGGCTGGGAACACCACATCAGTGTAGTACAGGAAGTTATCAGCTCCCCGAATTTGTGGCAGGATCAACAGGTGTCTATATATATATATATAATTTTTTTTATTATTTAAAGCAGAGCTCTACCCAAAAGGGAAGTTCCGCTTTATGGCTTTGTCCCCCGCTTCCCATTAAGGAGTGGGGGTACCTGAATTTGACAGGTACCCCCTTCCGCTGCGATTGCCTAGGCCAGGGATCTCCTAAACTTTCAAAGGCAAGAGCGGACTGACAACTCATGAGGCCCCCGGCAATAGGGGATCATGGGGCCCCTGTGTCCTTGCCCACCCTCAAACCACACCCAAGAAAGCCTATGAAAGGTACTAGGGGCATCTCATGGGGCCCCCTACTGACCCTGAGCCCTCGGCCAGGTGCCCAAGTTCCAAAATGGTCAGTCCGCCCCTGAACAAAGTTCCAGTTTACTGTCCTTCAATGTTTTGTTTTTGCATGGGGGAGGGGCAGATTGTGGCCAGTGGGGGGGGGGGGAGAATGTCCTGGGCCTGGCATGGGTGAAAATAAACATGGCCTCGGGGTTGGTGTTCAGAAACAGGAGGAATAGTGCCCCATCATTGGTATCAGTGGGAGGAATAGTGCCCCATCATTGGTGTCAGTGGGAGGAATAGTGCCCCATCATTGGTGTCAGTGGGAGGAATAGTGCCCCATCATTGGTGTCAGTGGGAGGAATAGTGCCCCATCATTGGTATCAGTGGGAGGAATAGCGCCCCATCATTGGTATCAGTGGGAGGAATAGTGCCCCATCATTGGTGTCAGTGGGAGGAATAGTGCCCCATCATTGGTATCAGTGGGAGGAATAGTGCCCCATCATTGGTATCAGTGGGAGGAATAGTGCCCCATCATTGGTATCAGTGGGAGGAATAGTGCCCCATCATTGATGTCATCGGGAGGAATAGCGCCCCATCATTGGTATCAGTGGGAGGAATAGTGCCCCATCATTGGTGTCAGTGGGAGGAATAGTGCCCCATCATTGGTGTCAGTGGGATGAATAGTGCCCCATCATTGGTGTCAGTGGGAGGAATAGTGTCCCATCATTGGTATCAGTGAGAGGAATAGTGTCCCATCATTGGTATCAGTGGGAGGAATAGTGTCCCATCATTGGTGTCAGTGGGAGGAATAGTGTCCCATCATTGGTATCAGTGAGAGGAATAGTGTCCCATCATTGGTGTCAGTGGGAGGAATAGTGCCCCTTCATTGGTGTCAGTGGGAGGAATAGTGCCCTATCATTGGTATCAGTGGGAGGAATAGTGTCCCATCATTGGTATCAGTGGGAGGAATAGTGCCCCATCATTGTTGTCAGTGGGAGGAATAGTGCCCCATCTTTGGTGTCACGGCAGGAATTATGCCTCATTGTTGATGTTAGAGGAATAGTGCCCCAAGGGCCAGATAAAGGCTAGCAAAGGGCCACATTTGGCCCTCGGAGACCACTGGCCTAGGCGATCGGAAGCAGCCATGGTTTTTGTAGCTGATGACTTTTTTTTATTTTAATTCCCACTGGACCTCTACTTTAAGTATAACTAAAGGCAAAACTTTTTTCTAGTTTTGGATAGAGTGGAGAGGGACTAGAAGCCCTGTCAGGTCTTTATGGCTCTCTGGATGGTCATGAGGACAACCAATGAGGGGCTTCAGTGGATGATCCCTATCCAGAAACTAATCCTCTCTTCTTCTGTAGGTGATGTCATGACCGGCACAACCAGACTGAGACCACCATGGCTTCCCACATAGAGAAAATCACTTTGGGTGTTAGCAAGATATTAGGTGAGAAACTACTATTCTTATCACTTAAAGAGACCCTGTCATCAAAGTGTTCCTAAACTCCGGACCCTGCATTCACTATATCCGCTCTCCCCAGACCCCGCATTCACTATATCCACTCTCCCCCGGACCCCACATTCGCTACATCCCGCTCCCCCGGACCCTGCATCCACTATATCCGCTCTCCCCGGACCCCACATTCGCTACATCCGCTCTCCCCGGACCCTGCATCCACTATATCCGCTCTCCCCGGACCCCGCATTCACTATATCTGCTCTCCCTGGAACCCCGCATTCACTATATCTGATTTCCCCGGACCCCGCATTCACTATATCCGCTCTCCCCCGGACCCTGCATTCGCTACATCCGCTCTCCCCGGACCCTGCATTCACTATATCTGCTCTCCCTGGAACCCCGCATTCACTATATCTGATTTCCCCGGACCCCGCATTCACTATATCCGCTCTCCCTGGACCCCGCATTCACTATATCCGCTCTCCCCGGACCCCTCATTCATTATATCCGCTCTCCCCGGACCCCTCATTCATTATATCTGCTCTCCCCGGACCCTGCATTCACTATATCCAGTCTTCCTGGACCCTGCATTCACTATATCTGGTCTTCCTGGACCCTGCATTCACTATATCTGCTCCCCCCAGACCCCACATTCACTATATCCGCTCTCCCCGGACCCTGCATTCACTATATCCGCTCTCCCCGGACCCCTCATTCATTATATCCGCTCTCCCCGGACCCCGCATTCACTATATCTGCTCCCCGGACCCCGCATTCACTATATCTGCTCTCCCCGGACCCCGCATTCACTATATCTGCTCTCCCCGGACCCCGCATTCATTGTATCCGCTCTCCCCGGACCCTGCATTCACTATATCCAGTCTTCCTGGACCCCGCATTCACTATATCTGGTCTCCCCGGACCCTGCATTCACTATATCCACTCTCCCCAGACCCTGCATTCACTATATTTGGTCTCCCCGGACCCTACATTCACTATATCTGCTCTCCCCGGACCCTGCATTCACTATATCCGCTCTCCCCGGACCCTGCATTCACTATATCCAGTCTTCCTGGACCCTGCATTCACTATATCTGGTCTCCCCGGACCCTGCACTCACTTATCCGCTCTCCCCGGACCCTGCATTCACTATATCCAGTCTTCCTGGACCCTGCATTCACTATATCTGGTCTCCCCGGACCCTGCATTCACTATACCCGCTCTCCCCGGACCCTGCATTCACTATATTCGCTCTCCCCGGACCCTACATTCACTATATCCGCTCTCCCCGGACCCCGCATTCACTATATCGCTCTCCCCGGACCCCGCATTCACTATATCCGCTCTCCCCGGACCCCGCATTCACTATATCCGCTCTCCCCGTACCCTGCATTCACTATATTCGCTCTCCCCGGACCCCGCATTCACTATATCCGCTCTCCCCGGACCCCGCATTCACTATATCCGCTCTCCCCGGACCCCGCATTCACTATATCCGCTCTCCCCGGACCCCGCATTCTCTATATCTGTTCTCCCCGGACCCTGCATTCACTATATCTGGTCTCCCTGGACCCTGCATTCACTATATCCGCTCTCCCCGGACCCCGCATTCACTATATCTGGTCTCCCCGTACCCCGCATTCACTATATCCGCTCTCCCCGGACCCCGCATTCACTATATCCGCTCTCCCCGGACCCTGCATTCACCATATCCGCTCTCCCCGGACCCCGCATTCACTATATCCGCTCTCTCCCCGGACCCCGCATTCACTATATCCGCTCTCCCCGGACCCTGCATTCACTATATCCGCTCTCCCCGGACCCTGCATTCACTATATCCGCTCTCCCCGGACCCCGCATTCACTATATCCGACTATGAACTTTCAGAATGCAGGGTCGGGGAGCTGCAGTTACACACTGTACAGAAGATCTGAGCACTGATTGGAGGGAAGGGACACACCCCCTTAACACAGCACACAGGAACAGAATTGAGGCTGTCAATCATATGCTGTGTGCTGGAGCTCCCTCCCCTGCCACCTTTTTAGCTCTTGGTGTCAGAAAAACTTGTCAGAAGTGACTCATGCTGATAGAGGAATGAAGCAGCAGACAGAAATGACACTTTAGTGCTCTGGACTGAGACAAGTACACACTATAGAACAGAGATGTGGAAATCATATCACCCAATGCCCGGGACATGTAGTTCTGATTGCCAGGCAGGTTGTTTTTTCTTACATTTAGCCCTGCTGCATGCAAACCGCAATTGGTAAACACGGGTGGACTGGCTGCAGATGTGCACGCTGAGTGTCTGTGACACTCGTCCAGCCAGAACACTACCCCCCCACTTTTCCCCTCTCCCTCACCTCACAGAAGGGAAAGGATAGGCCAGGAGAGAGGTATCGATTTGCTCCACCTCTTCCCGCCCCTCTCCTCTGTGTCTGCCCCGCCCACACTTCAACCCAGACAGGTGATTGAATTTGAAGATCCATCGAGCTGTATGATTGGTGCCACTGTCTGAGCCTGCAGAGAGCAGCCTGGGGGAATAATCTCTGCACTACCACTGAGCTTTCCTATCTCCCTCCATTTCCTCCCCATCTACAGTTGTGGCCAAAATTATTCAACCCCCACTGAAATTTGAGTGTTTTGGCCAGTTTGACATTGCTTTTGATCATTCAGTCATCTTGCTTACATTTACATTAAAGGGGCACTTGTAGGTCAGACAAATATATAACATAACAGTTTAAGAAATAACCACAAATGTCTTTTCTGTGCTCACAGCATTATCAGTTTTATTCAACCCCCAAGTGACATTCAATCTTAGTACTTAGTACAGCATCCTTTTACAGTTATAACAGCTTTTAAACGTGAAGCATAGCTTGACACAAGTGTCTTGCAGCGATCTACGGGTATCTTCGCCCATTCTTCAGGGGGCAAAGGCCTCCAGTTCAGTCACATCTTAGGCTTGCGCACTGCAACTGCTTTCTTTAAGTCCCACCAGAGGTTCTCAATCGGATTTAAGTCTGGTGACTGCGATGGCCACTCCAAAATGTTCCAGCCTTTCCTCTGCAACCATGCTCTAGTGGACTTGGAGGTATGCTTGGGATCATTGTCCTGTTGAAAGGTCCAACTCCTCCCAAGCCTCAGGTGTGTGACGGACTGCATCACGTTTCCATCCAATATCTCCTGGTACTGAAGAGAATTCATGGTACCTTGCACACGCTGAAGCTTCCCTGTACCTGCAGAAGCAAAACAGCCCCAAAGCATGATTGACCCTCCACCATGCTTCACAGTAGGCAAGGTGTTCTTTTCATCATAGGCCTTGTTCTTCCTCCTCCAAACATAGCGTTGATCCATAAGGGGGCCCAAACAGTTCTAATTTTGTTTCATCAGTCCACAGAACACTATCCCACAACTTTTGTGGTTTGTCCACATGGCTTTTGGCATACTGCAGTCGACTCTTCTTATTCTTTGGAGACAGCAAGGGGGTACGCCTGGGAGTTCTGGCACGGAGGCCTTCATTACGCAGTGTGCGTCTTATTGTCTGGGCTGAAACTTCTGTACCCACATCTGACAAATCTTTTCTCAGTTCCTCAGCAGTCACAGGGGGACTTCTCTCCACTCTACGCTTCAGGTAGCGCACAGCAGTCGAAGTCAGCATCTTCTTTCTGCCACGACCAGGTAGCGTTTCAACAGTGCCCTTTGCCTTGAATTTGCGAATGATGCTTCCTAAGGTGTCTCTTGGTATGTTTAACATCTTTGCAATCTTCTTATAGCCATTGCCCTTCCTGTGAAGAGAAATCACCTCTTCTCTTGTCTTCCTGGACCATTCTCTTGCCTTCACCATGTTTGTAACCACAGTAAATGTCTAGAAGGAGCTGAGTATCACAGTGATTTTAAAGCTGCCTAATTGGTGCTTATTATGCTTGATTGCTGCTCGGGGACATCCACAGGTGTTTTCAATACCTGATGGAAAGCACCTGTATGAACCTCTGTTCTTCAGAGTGGTAGTCTTTAAGGGGTTGAATAATTGTGGCAATGAAGAAACCACATAAGAACCATTTACTACTGTATTACATAAACAATTGATGTCATTTTAGTTGCATTTGGGTAGTTACAACGTCCTTGTAGGATTTGATTCTGAATACAATTCCAAATGTACACTATAGTCCCTAAACCCCTTTACAGCATTGGGGGTTGAATAATTTTGGCCACAACTTCTCACTCCCCCCTCTCTGTTCTTCCAGGAGCTTCACACACTTAACTATTTCATGTCCAGTTAGCAACTGAACTCTGACGTAAGGGGGCACTCTGCTGAACTCTGACGTAAGGGGGCACTCCGCTGAACTCTGACGTAAGGGGGCACTCTGCTGAACTCTGACGTAAGGGGGCACTCTGCTGAACTCTGACGTAAGGGGGCACTCTGCTGAACTCTGACGTAAGGGGGCACTCTGCTGAACTCTGATGTAGGGGGGGATCTGCTGAACTCTGACGTAAGGGGCACTCCGCTGAACTCTGACGTAAGGGGGCACTCCGCTGAACTCTGACGTAAGGGGGCACTCCGCTGAACTCTGACGTAAGGGGGCACTCTGCTGAACTCTGACGTAAGGGGGCACTCTGCTGAACTCTGACGTAAGGGGGCAGCCTCCGCTGAACTGTCATAAGGGGGCACTCCGCTAAACTTTGACATAAGGGGCACTCCGCTGAATTGTCATAAGGGGGCACTCCGCTGAATACAACCTCATGTCAGGGAACATCCGCTAGATTTGGGGGCACCGTTTTAGTCACTTATAAGGGGGGCACTCCGCTGAACTGTCATAAGGGGGCACTCCGCATGAGGGTGAACTGATTTAGTCATAAGGGGGCACTCGCTAAACTGTTAAGGGGACACTCCGCTGAACTGTAAGGGGGCACTCCGCTGAACTGTCATAAGGGGGCACTCCGCTGAACTGTCATAAGGGGGCACTCCGCTGAACTGTCATAAGGGGGCACTCCGCTGAACTGTCATAAGGGGGCACTCCGCTGAACTGTCATAAGGGGGCACTCCGCTGAACTGTCATAAGGGGGCACTCCGCTGAACTGTCATAAGGGGGCACTCACTCCGCTGAACTGTCATAAGGGGGCACTCCGCTGAACTGTCATAAGGGGGCACTCCGCTGAACTTTGACTTAAGAGGGCACTCTGCTATACTCTTGACTTAAGAGGGCACTCTGCTGAACTCTGACTTAAGAGGGCACTCTGCTGAACTCTGACTTAAGAGGGCACTCCGCTTAACTCTGACTTAAGAGGGCACTCCGCTTAACTCTGACTTAGGTGGGCACTCCGCTGAACTCTGACTTAAAGAGGGCACTCCGCTGAACTCTGACTTAGGTGGGCACTCCGCTGAACTCTGACTAGGTGGGCACTCCGCTGATCTGAACTCGCTGAACTCTGACTTAAGAGGGCACTCCGCTGAACTCTGACTTAGGTGGGTCAAACTCCGCTGAACTCTGACGTAAGGGGGCACTCCGCCACATTCTGACATAAGGATGTATTCTGTCAGGGTCTGATGTCAGGGGGGACTCCGCTGGATCCTGATGTCAGGGGGGATTCCGCTGGATCCTGATGTCAGGGGGGATTCCGCTGGATCCTGATGTCAGGGGGGATTCCGCTGGATCCTGATGTCAGGGGGGATTCCGCTGGATCCTGATGTCGGGGGATTCCGCTGGATCCTGATGTCAGGGGGGATTCCGCTGGATCCTGATGTCGGGGGATTCCGCTGGATCCTGATGTCAGGGGGACTCCGCTGGATCCTGATGTCAGGGGGACTCCCGCTGGATCCTGATGTCAGGGGGGACGCGCTGGATGCTGATGTCAGGGGGTACGCCGCTGGATTCTGATCTCAGGGGAGACTCCGCTGGATTCTTATGTCAGGGAGGAAGCTGATGTAGAGGGGTAATGTTGGGGACTTTGACATAAGGAAGAACTCTGTGAACATGGTGCTTCTTAAAAGCGCCCCTGCCTAATAAAAAACATCAACTCCTTTTATTTTCCATCCTGGTAAATTAATTTCAAGCCTTAAAGGGCCATTCATCCATTGAAAATCCATGGTGATAAAACTGTCTTTTGCAGTAGTAATACAACAAAGATCTTATTAATTGTTTTTTATCAGGACGTTGTCATGAGGGACAAGTAGATTGGGGCACCGATTTAGTCCTTGGACAAGTAGTTTTTTTTAATTTCCACACACTTGGTAGAAGGTTATGTTTTGTTAATGTTTCATGTCTGAGGTTTGCAACCACTTTAAATGCCGGTTCACATATATGCAGATTGGATATGGTTTGAACGGCATCCATTCCGCATGACGTGTGAAATACCATTGCTTCCTATGGTGCCTGTTCACATATGACCGGTGCACTGGCAGTGCCGTTTGAAAAAGAGTCCTACACGATTTCTGAGCAGTGCGGTCCGGTTCAGGTGCGGATTACAGGCTATTGAATTCTATGGGAACCGTTTCTAAACCACATGTGTGTGAACAGGATAGGATCCTGAGCTAATCCTGTCCTGAACCTGATGTGAACCTGACATGAACCTATGAACAACTACTGTATCAATTAGCTGTGACACATGAGCTTCAATCCACACCGCTCATGTGTGAACAGGATAGGATCCTGAGCTACTCCTATCCTGAACCCGATGTAAACCTGACATGAACCTCTGAACAACTACTGTGTCAAATAGCTGTGAAACCTGAGCTTCAGTCCGCACCATATGTTTGTGAACAGGATAAGATCCTGAGCTAATCCTGTCCTGATCCTGATGTAAACCTGACGTGAACCTCTGAACAACTACTGTATCAAATAGCTGTGAAACCTGAGCTTCAGTCCGCACCGCACATGTGTGAACAGGATAAGATCCTGAGATAATCCTGTCCTGAACCTGATGTAAACCTGACATGAACCTCTGAACAACTACTCTATCAAATAGCTGTGAAACCTGAGCTTCAATCCGCACTGCACATGTGTGAACAGAATAAGATCCTGAGCTAAACCTGTCCTGAACCCGATGTGAACCCTGTGAACAACTACTGTATCAAATAGCTGTGAAACCTGAGCTTCAGTCCGCACCGCACATGTGTGAACAGAATAAGATCCTGAGCGAAACCTGTCCTGAACCTGTGAACAACTACTGTATCAAATAGCTGTGAAACCTGAGCTTCAATCCGCACCTCACTTGTGTGAACAGTATAAGATCCTGAGCTAAACCTGTCCTGAACCTGATGTAAACCTGACATGAACCTGTGAACAACTACTGTATGAAATAGCTGTGAAACCCGAGCTTCAGTCCGCACTGCACATGTGTGAACAGGATAAGATCCTGAGCTAATCCTGTCCTGAACCTGATGTAAACCTGACATGAACCTATGAACAACTACTGTATCAAATAGCTATGAAACCTGAGCTTCAGTCCGCACTGCACATGTGTGAACAGAATAAGATCCTGAGCGAAACCTGTCCTGAACCTGTGAACAACTACTGTATCAAATAGCTGTGAAACCTGAGCTTCAGTCCGCACCGCCCATGTGTGAACAAGATAAAAGCCTGAGCTAATCCTGTCCTGAACCTGATGTAAACCTGATGTGAACCTGTGAATAATTACTGTATCAAATAGCTGTGAAACCTGAGCTTCAGTCCGCACCTCACTTGTGTGAACAGTATAAGATCCTGAGCTAATCCTGTCCTGAACCTGATGTAAACCTGACATGAACCTGTAAACGACTACTGTATGAAATAGCTGTGAAACCCGAGCTTCAGTCCGCACTGCACATGTGTGAACAGGATAAGATCCTGAGCTAATCCTGTCCTGAACCCGATGTGAACCTGACATGAACCTGTGAACAACTACTGTATCAAATAGCTGTGAAACCTGAGCTTCAGTCCGCACTGCACATGTGTGAACAGAATAAGATCCTGAGCGAAACCTGTCCTGAACCTGTGAACAACTACTGTATCAAATAGCTGTGAAACCTGAGCTTCAGTCCGCACCGCCCATGTGTGAACAAGATAAAAGCCTGAGCTAATCCTGTCCTGAACCTGATGTAAACCTGATGTGAACCTGTGAATAATTACTGTATCAAATAGCTGTGAAACCTGAGCTTCAGTCCGCACCTCACTTGTGTGAACAGTATAAGATCCTGAGCTAAACCTGTCCTGAACCTGATGTAAACCTGACATGAACCTGTAAACAACTACTGTATGAAATAGCTGTGAAACCCGAGCTTCAGTCCGCACTGCACATGTGTGAACAGGATAAGATCCTGAGCTAATCCTGTCCTGAACCCGATGTGAACCTGACATGAACCTGTGAACAACTACTGTATCAAATAGCTGTGAAACCCGAGCTTCAGTCCGCACCTCACTTGTGTGAACAGTATAAGATCCTGAGCTAAACCTGTCCTGAACCTGATGTAAACCTGACATGAACCTGTGAACAACTACTGTATCAAATAGCTGTGAAACCTGAACTTCAGTCCGCACCGCACATGAATCGCCTCTCAGTTTTAGGTCACAGTGGGTTAGATGTGCAGTGATTTAGTGCATCACCTCTGTTTTGATATATAGCTCCCAGTGACCATAGACATATCGACTTTGAATTTTCAGGCTATTGTATATGTGCTGCTATAGGAAACAGTGACCTATTTTGAATATTTTTTTTCTGTGGCCGTATTTTGTAGAGTCATCTCCCGGAGTGACGGATGTAAAGTTTGAGGCCATTCCTCCTGCTGAACGTCATGCGATTGTCTCCTGGGAGCAGGTATGTACAATGTTGTGTCAAAAATATGCTGGGCTCAGGAAATTAAACCGAAAGGCCGGAACTTATCATCTCTACATGGACATGCTGGAAGCCATTTTATTCTTTATATTCTATCTTCATAGTTTCTGAACAAAGGTTCTAACAGCAGACCTTCCCAGTTTCTTACAGCGTACTTTCCCAGGTTATAAATTGGGGAGGGATTGTACCGGACAGCTACAAAATATAAACTAGACATGATACCGAGTTGAAAGATAAATTGAGGACTCCATGTCTCGGTTGAACAACGGACAAAAGGACTGTCACGATGATTTTTTTTTCCATGAACGTCTGGAAAAGAGTTCATATTAAACTTTACATTGCATATGGTGTTATTTAGTGGTGCACTGAAATGAAAATTCTGGTACCGTAAACGAAAATTCAAAAATCAAAATGCACAGTTTTTAAAAATGAATATATATTTTTTGGAAAAAAAATGCACTTTTATTAAAAAAAAAAAAAAAAGAAAAATATATACTTCAATTTTTTTGTAAAATATGAAAAAGGACGTTATGGCAAGTAAATAAATACCCAACATGTCACGCTTTAAAATTGCGCACGCTTGTGGAATGGCGTGAAACTGCAGTACTTAAAAATCTCCATGGGCGATGCTTTAAAAATGTCTACAGGTTAGCAGTGTGACGTTACAGAGGACGACTAGAGCGAGGATTATTGCTCTCGCTCCGATGTTCGTGGCGATACCTCACATGTGTGGTTTGAACACCATTTACATATGTGGGCATGGCCTACGTATGCGTTCACCACTGCCTGTGAGCACGGGGGGACAGGGGCACTTTAAACTTTTTTTTTCTTTAATTTTTTTTTTTTTTTGCACTGTCCCTTAAAAAATGAATGAATGAATATGATGGTGAATTGATATATCAAACTAATTACATGATTGGAATAAAGATCAGTGATTATAATTTATATTCAATTTTGTGTAAGATGATTGAAACAATATGCAGTAGTGCAATGATCTTTACTAGTAATGATAAATACTGTATAATAATATTTGTATACATAAAAAAAAACAATATAAAAAAAAAAAATGTAAAATACAAAATGTCCAAAAATTGCTGGATATGTTCACATTGCTATTTAAATCTCTGCTTCAAATGTGACACCCTTATGCGCTCACCTTCCTGTAAGCCTAATCCTAGGCAAACCAAGCTTTAGATCCAATTAAATGATGACTTTATATTCTGTGATTAGATCCTTCAGGGAGACATAAATTGTTGAGCTCCCCTCTATTCTCCTGGAATGATCTCTGCTTTGGTGCTGGTGTAAGTATATGGATCTCTCCCTGCTTACACTGCACTCACATGGTAAAACATATATAATGATAGCTATCACATCCCCCTGACGAAGCCACGTGACCCTGTGACGACACGCGTAGGGGAGGGGCTCTGACGTCACCACATACCCGACGTCTGAACGGCGAGTATAGTCTGAGTGTGGAAGACACACAGAGGAGGCTTGTTGCACTGAGCGGTTTTTATATACCGTCACATGCCTGATGAAGGGGTCCTGCGAGACTCCGAAACGTTGCCTTGCTGTAACTATGTGATGGTTTATTAAAACCTTTGGACTCGTATTGGTGATCCTCGGTGTGCTGGTGACATTTTTTTCCTTTTATATACACAAGGCGCATTATATATGTTTTACCATGTGAGTGCATCTATGCTTAAGGGCACTTAATAAACCTTTTATACAACGATAAGGCACTATATTCTTTCTCTTTCTTACTGCCACAACGAGGAGAAAAGCAGAGGGATGGAGTGGAAGTGCAGTGTAAGGAGGGAGAGATCCATATACCTACACCAGCACCAAAGCAGAGATCATTCCAGGAGAATAGAGGGGAGCTCAACAATTTATGTCTCCCTGAAGGATCTAATCACAGAATATAAAGTCATGATTTAATTGGCTCTAAAGCTTGGTTTGCCTAGGATTGAAGCAGAGATTTAAACAGCGATGTGAACATATCCATCAATTTTTGGACATTTTGTATTTTACATTTTTTTTTTTCGCCCAGCACGCATACTCCGCTTCTCACAAGACCTCCTTCTCTCTAGTTCCCTGGTCTCCTCCTCCCATGCCCACCTCCAGGACTTCTCCAGAGTGTCACCCATCCTCTGGAACTCCCTGCCCCAACCCATCAGATTATCACCTACTCTCCTCTCCTTTAGGCGCACCCTGAAAACCCATCTCTTCAGGGAAGCCTACCCCACCCCCTGCTAACTTGCCGACCTCCTCCACTCTTCCTACCACTCCATCCCCCACAGCTATCTCCTCCTGTACCACCATCCCCTCCCTCCTAGATTGTAAGCTCCAAAGAGCAGGGCCCTCGATCCCCTCATGTTTTGCATTGTATTGGTATTGTTCTGTCACATGTTCTGTCCCCCTTTGTAATGTACAGCGCTGAGCGAACTATCGGCGCTTTATAAATACTGTATAATATATAATAATAATAATAATACCGTATTTTCCGGCGTATAAGACGACTTTTCAACCCCTGAAAATCTTCTGAAAAGTCGGGGGTCGTCTTATACGCCGGTGCGAGCCGGTGTCAGGGCGGCACTTTTTCGAGGGGCGGCGCGGCGCCGCCCCCCCTCCTCCTCCGAGCGGCCCCGCGAAAATCGAGCGGCCGAACTGGAAGAAGGAGCAGCCGCTCCTCTTTCCCACTGACACCAACGATGAGGCACTGTTCTCCCAACTGATACCAATGATGGGGCACTATTCCTCCTCCCCACTGATACCAATGATGGGGCACTATTCCTCCCACTGATACCTATGATGGGGCACTATTCCTCCCACTGACTCCAATGATGGGTCACTATTCCTCCCACTGATACCTATGATGGGGCACTATTCCTCCCACTGACACCAATGATGGGGCACTATTCCTCCCATTGATACCTATGATGGGGCACTACTCCTCCCACTGATACCAATGATGGGGCACTATTCCTCCCACTGATATCAACGATGGGGCGCTATTCCTCCCACTGACACCAACGATGGGGCGCTATTCCTCCCACCGACACCAACGATGGGGCGCTATTCCTCCCACCGACACCAACGATGGGGCGCTATTCCTCCCACCGACACCAACGATGGGGCGCTATTCCTCCCACCGACACCAACGATGGGGCGCTATTCCTCCCACCGACACCAACGATGGGGCGCTATTCCTCCCACCGACACCAACGATGGGGCGCTATTCCTCCCACCGACACCAACGATGGGGCGCTATTCCTCCCACCGACACCAACGATGGGGCGCTATTCCTCCCACCGACACCAACGATGGGGCGCTATTCCTCCCACCGACACCAACGATGGGGCGCTATTCCTCCCACCGACACCAACGATGGGGCGCTATTCCTCCCACCGACACCAACGATGGGGCGCTATTCCTGCCACCGACACCAACGATGGGGCGCTATTCCTCCCACCGACACCAACGATGGGGCGCTATTCCTCCCACCGACACCAACGATGGGGCGCTATTCCTCCCACCGACACCAACGATGGGGCGCTATTCCTCCCACCGACACCAACGATGGGGCGCTATTCCTCCCACCGACACCAACGATGGGGCGCTATTCCTCCCACCGACACCAACGATGGGGCGCTATTCCTCCCACCGACACCAACGATGGGGCGCTATTCCTCCCACCGACACCAACGATGGGGCGCTATTCCTCCCACCGACACCAACGATGGGGCGCTATTCCTCCCACCGACACCAATGATGGGGCACTATTCCTCCCACTGACTAATGATAGGGCACTATTCCTTACACACTGACACTAATGATGGGGCACCATCATTGGTGTCAGTGGGAGGAATAGTGTCCCATCATTGGTATCAGTGGGAGGAATAGTGCCCCATCATTGGTATCAGTGGGAGGAATAGTGTCCCATCATTGGTATCAGTGGGAGGAATAGTGCCCCATCATTGGTGTCAGTGGGAGGAATAGTGCCCCATAATTGATGTCAGTGGGAGGAATAGTGTCCCATCATTGGTATCAGTGGGAGGAATAGTGCCCCATCATTGGTATCAGTGGGAGGAATAGTGCCCCATCATTGGTGTCAGTGGGAGGAATAGTGCCCCATCATTGATGTCAGCGGGAGGAATAGCGCCCCATCATTGGTGTCAGCGAGAGGAATAGTTCCCATCATTGGTGTCAGTGGGAGGAATAGTGCCCCATCATTGATGTCAGTGGGAGGAATAGTTCCCATCATTGGTGTCAGTGGGAGGAATAGTGCCCCATCATTGGTGTCAGTGGGAGGAGTAGTGCCTCATCATTGGTGTCAGTGGGAGGAATAGCACCTCATCATTGGTGTCAGTGGGAGGAATAGTGTCCCATCATTGGTATCAGTGGGAGGAATAGTGTCCCATCATTGGTGTCAGTGGGAGGAATAGTGCCCCATCATTGGTGTCAGTGGGAGGAGTAGTGCCTCATCATTGGTGTCAGTGGGAGGAATAGTGCCCCATCATTGGAATACCATACTGAAATAGCATACCATATTGAAATCAAATCTGATGTTTTTTCATTTTATATTTGGTGTGCGTTGGAAGAGGGGTAGTCTTATACGGCGAGTATAGCTCAAACCGTATATTTTAACAGGAAAAGTAGGGGGTCGTCTTATACGCCGGAAAATACGGTAATAATAATATTGTTTATTTTTATTCTTTATGTATACAAATATCATTGCACTACTGCATATTGTTTCAATCATCTTACACAAAATTTAATATAAATTATAATCCCTAATCTTTAATCCAATCATGTAATTAATTTGATATATCAATTCACCATCATATTCATTCAATGTGATTCAGATAATTAATTAATCAACTCACCATAGGGGCGCGGCATTTCCCTATAAACAACCGTATTCTGCTATGTCTTTGCTAAAAAAAAAAAAAATCCAAATACATGTAAATTTATTGGTTTACATGAAAGTTATAGCGTCTACAAATGGCGATATATATACTGGAATTTTTATTTATTTTTTTTTATACTAGTAATGGAGGCGATCAGCGACTTATAGCGGGACTGCGGCGGGCATTCTGACACCGGGTGGGAACAAACGGCCAATGACATCTCCAGGCCAAAAATGTCATCATGTCTTTGGTAAAAAAGAAAAAAAAAATCCCAATAAGTATATATAATTAATTTACTCGGTTTACTCGGAAGTTACAGTCAGGTCCATAAATATTGGGACATCGACACAATTCTAACATTTTTGGCTCTATACACCACAAAGGATTTGAAATGAAACTAACAAGATGTGCTTTAACTGCTTTAATTGAGCATGCATTTCACTTGCTGAAGACAAAACTGAAGGGAAAATGCCCCAAGAACAAGCAGGAACTGAAGACAGTTGCAGTAGAGGCCTGGCAGAGCATCACCAGGGATGAAACCCAGCGTCTGGTGATGTCTATGCGTTCCACACTTCAGGCTGTAATTGACTGCAAAGGATTTGCAACCAAGTATTAAAAAGGGAAAGTTTAATTTATGATTATTATTCTGTCCCATTACTTTTGGTCCCTTAACAAGTGGGAGGCACATATGCAAACTGTTGTAATTCCTACACCGTTCACCTGATTTGGATGTAAATACCCTCAAATTAAAGCTGACAGTCTGCAGTTAAAGCACATCTTGTTCATTTCATTTCAAATCCATTGTGGTGGTGTATAGAGCCAAAAATGTTAGAATTGTGTCCATGTCCCAATATTTATGGACCTGACTGTATAATATCAACAAATGACGCTATATAGATACTGGAATATTTATTTATTTTATACTAGTAATAGCAGAGACCTGCAACTTTTAGGCTACGGCGGGCATTTTGACACTAATTGACACTAGGGGGAACTGACTAACTGCCACTGACATCTCCAGTGACACCAATACAGCGATCAGTGCTAATAAAAAGCACTGACACTGTACTAATGGCACTGGGCAGGAAGGGGTTAACATCTGGGGCAATCAAAGGGTTAACTGTGTGTTGTGCTTTGCTTGCACTGTGTGCTGTTTTACTAGGGAGACATGCTATGCAGAGAAAGAGAAAGAGAAAGCAGCATGTCCTTGCTGACAGGAGAGAGATCTGTGTTTACACACAGATATCTCCCCTCTCCGCTTTAGCGGCAATCACCGAGTGCGGCCGAGACCCAGTGATTGACATCCGCTACAACCAATGGCAGCACGGGAACAGTGGCACATGCACCCCCTACCCTGAAATGGAAAATCATGTATATTTACGTGATTTTGCACGGAGTGACTGCCCTGTAGCAGGGCGGTAGGTAAGTGGTTAACACCGATAAACTGCTATATATTACTTTTGTGGTTTTGGGTTCAGATACGCGTTAAGGCCCCATGTACACGGGACGTTTCTGAACGATGGAAACTGACTGCTGGAAAAATGTAGGTTTAAAAACGTCTGTGTAGCCGCGTTTGCATAACATGTTTATGCGCGTTTGCGTTTAGAAGCGTTTTTTAAAGATTAGCACAGGAGAACCTCCCAAATGCCCAGAATGCACTGAAAAGTGGTAAATTATGAACTGTCAGACTGTTTCAGAGAAATACAGAGAGTAGAAGCAGAGACAGCAGGATGTGTTGAGATTAGCTTAGGTGTGAGTTGCTCATTAACATTTCTTTTGTTTCCAAGGGTGGGAAAGGTGTCTGGTGGAGGGAGTCATTAAGGTCACCTGGCAGGGGGTCTTCATGAGGAATGTGAGGTGTGAATGGTCATTAACATATCTTTTGTTTCCAAGGTTGGGAGAGGTCTGAGGTGTGAATGGTCATTAACATATCTTTTGTTTCCAAGGTTGGGAGAGGTCTGAGGTGTGAATGGTCATTAACATATCTTTTGTTTCCAAGGGTGGGAGAGGTCTGAGATGTGAATGGTCATTAACATATCTTTTGTTTCCAAGGGTGGGAGAGGTCTGAGGTGTGAATGGTCATTAACATATCTTTTGTTTCCAAGGGTGGGAGAGGTCTGAGGTGTGAATGGTCATTAACATATCTTTTGTTTCCAAGGGTGGGAGAGGTCTGAGGTGTGAATGGTCATTAACATATCTTTTGTTTCCAAGGGTGGGAGAGGTCTGAGGTGTGAATGATCATTAACATATCTTTTGTTTCCAAGGGTGGGAGAGGTCTGAGGTGTGAATTGGTCATTAGCATATCTTGTTTCCAAGGGTGGGAGAGGTCTGAGGTGTGAATGGTCATTACAATGTGTGACAAGCTTGGTAGGAACATCCTGTGTTCAGTGTTTTGTCCATCTGAGTACCTTGAAAACGCTTTACATGCATTTTTCATGATGAAAAAAGGCTCTGGACAGCATCGGGAACTGGAGTTAAAAAAAAAAAATTCAAACACTTATAAACACGATTTGCGTTTGAAAAGCTGATAAAATCGACGTCTGAACGCAAGTTTTTTGCTTTAAAAAAAACGACTATAAACTCAACTGCCTGTAAATGACTGTAAACGACGATGTGTACATGGTCACATAGGAAAACATTAGGGAGAGTTCAGGGGCTGCTGAAAAAAACGCTGAACAGCTCCTAAACGTGAGTTTATCAGCAGCAGTGTACATGGGCACTAAAACTAGTCTGTCAGATGCTGTAGACTTTTCAATCCTAAGCAGTTGCCCTCTAAAACTGGTGTCTTTCTGTTATTAGAGATGGAGACAGTAGATGACAATATAAACAGTTGCAAAGTGGTGGTATAGTTTGACAAGAACATATAGTTTGGAGTTCCCCTTTAACATCTCCAATTTTTGTTACAATATACAGAAACATAAATGTACATTACCGGAAGATTTGAAGAACTTTTATTTAATGACCGATGGCTTCCTGATGTCCTGGTCGGTGAAATTGGATGGTAAGTTTATTTTTTTCATGTGCCTATTTCACAGCTGCCTCCTCTTACTTCCTCTCCCTAAGGGTCCTTTCACATGGCCGTTCCCGCTGTCCCTTTTTCTTCCATTCGTTGAAAGATGAAAAACGGACAGCAACGCATTCCTATGGGCAAATGGATGTAAACAGACGGTCATTTGTTTACATCCACATCTGTTCAGGTCCGTTTTTTAAAGTCTCTCTTTTTGTTTGTTGAAAAAACACAAAACAGACCTACACACAGATGTAAACGGACAAACGCTCCATTTTTGCATTGGTTGTTAGGGCCTGCAATTCCCTGCGGACAGTAGAATGCAATCAAAAGAGCTGCAAATCTCAAAAATGGCATGGGGACCCCCCCCCCAAAATCCAAACCAAGAAAGGGGGGACAAGCCCTGAACCATAACAGGCCACATGTCCTCAACATGGACACCCCTCCTACCCCCCTTAGTAAGGCACCTTGTCCCCATGTTAATGTTGATGAGGGCAAGGGCCTCATCCCCACAACCCTAGCCTGGTGGGTGTGATGGGTGCAGGGGTCCCAGATCCCACCCCACAAATGAATTAGAATGGGGTACTAGGTGCCCCTACTCATTCACCAAAAAAAATGACTAGTATAAATAAACACAGAACACAGTTTTTGACAATCCCCACCTCCTAAACGACATCTCTGACTGGATGTCGCTCCATTTCCTCAAGCTCAACCTCTCCAAAACCGAGCTTCTCGTCTTCCCCCCCAGCCCGCCCCCCCCCCCCCCCCCCCCCCCCATCCTTTCCATCACTACCAACAACACCACCATCAATCCCGCCCAGCAAGCCAAGGTCCTTGGCGTCATTCTGGACTCAAACCTTTCCTTTCAAACTCATATCAAGTCACTTACAAACACATGCCGGCTCCACCTCCGGAACATCGCCAAGATACGCTCCTTCCTTACCCCAGACACCACTAAACTACTCGTACACTCCCTGATTATCTCACACCTTGACTACTGCAACTCCCTCCTCACCGGCCTACCCCAGTGCAGGCTCTCCTCGCTTCAGACCATCCTGAACTCAGCTGCCAGACTCATCCACCTCACCAGCCGCTCCACCTCTGCCACCCCCCTCTGCCTCTCCCTCCACTGGCTCCCCATTGCTCAACGCATTAAATTCAAATTGCTCACCCTGACCTATAAGGCCATTCACGGCACTGCCCCTAACTACCTCACCGACCTGACTCCCAGGTACCACCCTACCCGTACCCTTCGCTCTTCACAGGACCTCCTTCTATCTTGCTCCCTGGTCTCCTCCTCCCATGCACGACTGCAAGACTTCTCCAGGTCCTCCCCCATCCTCTGGAACTCACTACCCCAATCCATCAGACTGTCACCTTCCCTCCTCACCTTCAGGCGCTCCCTGAAAACCCACCTCTTCAGGGAAACCTACCCCACCCTCACCTAACAGCCGCTGCCCTTCCCTCCTCCTACCACTCCATCCCCCACAGCCGTTTCCTCCTGTGCCTCTACCCCCTCCCTCCTAGATTGTAAGCTCGAAAGAGTAGGGCCCTCTTACCCCTTGTGTGCTGTTTGATGTTACTGTTCTGTTTCATGTATTGTCCCCCCCTCTATTGTACAGCGCTGAGCAAACCCTTTGGCGCTATATAAACTCGATAAATAAATAAATAAATAATCCCCAATGAAAAGCCTGCTGAACCCAACTGCTACCATCTTTTGTTGGCGCCGAATGACATTGCCGGTTCTCCCCGCAGCTAGGTAAACAATCCCCCGCTCCCTTATGACGTCACATACGCACAATGATGTCATAAGGTAGCAGAGTCACTCGGTGACCCCAACTCTTTGAATAATGCTAGGAAAACATAACATCATTGTCTTATGTAACACCATAAGGGGGGCAGGGGGTCACACAGTGACATCACTGGATGGCCCTGCCCGTTTGTTTACTTTAGCGACAGGGAAAACAGGCAATGCTTCCGCAAACGACAGGAGCAGTCTGGTTTCAGCGGGCAGCGTTTTTCTTTTTTTTTCCGTCAGTGACCTTCGTTCATCATGATTGATGATGACATCGCTGGACTGCGTGATTGACGATGGATCTACATCGGAGGACATTTTTTTTTGTGTAGTAAATGACTTGTCAAAAACTGTGTTGTGTGTTTATGTAAATTAGTCATTTTTTTTAGTGAATAAGTGCCCCATACTAATTCACTTTGGTGAGGGTCTGGATTTTGGGGTCCTATTGTTAAACACCCTTCGCCCCCATGTTGCGGGCATGTGGCCTGGTATGGTTTGGGGGGGAGGGTCGCACACTTGTCCTGCCCCCCTTTCATTAACTGCCAGGCTGCATGCTCAGATAAGTTTTTTGTATGGGTTTTGGGGGGGACCCCACGCCATTTTTATTTTTATTATGAGGTCCCCCCCAAACTCCATACCAGACTTGAAGGGTCTTTTGTTTACATTCTGCTGACTCATTGTTAGGAAGCTGGCAGGTGCCAGCTGCTTAACCTCCCTAGCGGTCTGATGATGTCAGTATTTCTGTGCTGAAAGCGGTACATTGTTTTCAATGGAACTATGTCGTTTTTTTTATTTTAGGCCTGTAATTCTTAGGAATAACTCACTGAAATCTGTCCGAACAAGAGTCTAGTAAACATCCCGGGGATGATAAAACTTGAAACACGAAATCATAAATTATAATATAATAAATAATCATAAAAAAAAATAATATAATAATAAATGTAATTTAATAATATAATCAAACCAAAAAACACTGAAATGTGAAATAGAGCGCCAAGTTCGCACATCGCTGAGCTCAGTCGCAGAATCGTTTTCAGTGTCTGATGAGGAATTTCCCCCACCAATCATTATCACTCAATTCTGCAAGTGGTTCTGATTTACTATCGCTGTTCTCTAGCCGGTCTAAAACCGCTTTTGACCTAAAGGGACGCTTTTTGGACGCCATGGACGTTTCTCAGTTTCCAGGCAGCAAGAACAGACAAAATGCAGGCAGGGCGCCGGACAAAGCACTCGGGGCAAAATGTATGTGAAATGGTTTGATACAGGAATGTTATACTATGTGATTTTAGTGTATTTAGTGAATGTCACTTTTTAAATTTCCCGCCGGTTCCGTTCCCCATACGTCCTGATGCTCGCAGGAAATGGAACCAGAAGCCGGATGCCGGCATCGGCCGGAGGAGATGGCCGGGGACACCACAGGGGGGACATCGCGGGGGAGCGCAGGACGAGGTAAGTGATATAAGGATCACTGGAGCAACGCCGCAGTCTATTTCCGAGTGTAGCTCGGGGTTACCGCTTTTGGTACTGAAACTTTACCCCGAGCTACACTCGGGAATACCTCCAGAGAGGTTAACAACCAATGACTCCTCCATGCTGCTGACAGCAGGGATGACTCATTGTTAGGAAGCTGGCAGGTGCCAGCTGCTTAACAACCAATGACTCCAGGTGCCAGCTCCTCCATGCTGCTGACAGCAGGGATGACTCATTGTTAGGAAGCTGGCAGGTGCCAGCTGCTTAACAACCAATGACTCCATTCCTCCATGCTCATTGTTGCTGCAGGTGCCAGCTGCTTAACAACCAATGACTCCTCCATGCTTAGATGCGTCACTGCTTGTTAGGACGTCAGCAGGTGCCGGATTCTACTAACCAACACAAAAAATGAACCTTTGTCTACACCCATTTGCATTTGTCTAGGTCCGCTTCCAGACACAGATGTAAATGGATGATAATTCTTTTACATCCATTTGCCTGTTTTTTCATCCATCAACTGATGGATGAAAAACGGACAGACAGAGCATCCGTGTGGAAGGACCCTTAGTCTGCATGTGTGCTGCTGTGTAACACATGTACCCTCCTAGGGTTCAGTGCCGAAAAACTGCAAAAATTAATTGAAGTCGGTGGACATAGTTTACACCGTGTTGGCTGCAGTGCCTTGTGTCTTCCCAAAGTACATTTAAATCGAATCCCTAAAATCACATATAAGCCCCCCTTGAACAGTTGCACAGGCTCTTCTCCTATACTGACATGACTATGCTTTCTTTGATTTTATTGCACACTGTGAGCCTCCCACCAGTCATTGGATTTCTGCTTTTTTTTTTTTTTTTTTTTTTTAATCGTGGAAGCTTGGCGTCACGTGTGGTCCGTTACCTGGGTGCTCTACATCCAAATACTGCCTGCCTAGTAATGCCTACTCCTGCATCCTGGCATCCCCACCCCCATAAAGGCATTTTGATATTTGCATAACTCCTCCAAAGAGCCAGCCCACTCCTTGCATCAGGGCTGAGGGCTTCCTTTTACCTGAAAGTACCAGGTATGTTTCTTCTATCAGCAGAACAGTACAGGGAGGGGTGCCAAGGGAAGGTAAACTGACATTTATTTGCCCTACATAGGCAGCTGCACTTTAAGTAAAAAATGTAAAGAGAAACCCGGGACCAGAGTATTCCGTACCTTGTGCAGAGGGTTGGTAGAACTAGTCCTGTTGGAAGGACTGTGATTGCGGTGGGAAACAAGACACGAGGTAAGTGAGCCCCCCTTCTACATCTGGAATAAAAAGATCTCTTTTACTTACAGACAGTCCCATCCAGGTGGGCTCTATGGTCATTAACAGCATTTCCAGTCTGACCCGGCTGAGATCAGCCTCTGCCTATTCTTTGCCGAACTCACCGACGTTGGATGACCTAGATGGCGGCTCGGACGAGGAAGGTACACGTAGTTGATAATAAGTAAAACTGTATTAGGCGAGGTTCACACCTATACAGTTTGTGTTTGATCCGTTTCTGCAGTGCGTTTTGCGTAAGTGCACATGCATTTTTGATACGTGTTTGATGCATTTTGCGTTTTTGTTTTCTTTCCTTGTTGCTAGGCAGATTAAAATGCATAAAAAATGCACTACATGCTTTTCTGCAGCGTCACCATTGAAGTCTGTAGAACAAAAAAACGCAATATTTTGCATTTTAAAAAAAAGTCCCTGACCCTTTCCAAAAAAAGCACCAGGTGAAAAGACGGAGATGTGCAAGTGTCCCGTAGGAAATCATGTTAAACGGACTGTAGTGCATTTCTGCAAAACGCCGCGAAAAACGCTTAGGTGTGAACAGGGGCGGACTGACAACTCATGGGGCCCCCGGGCAATAGGGGATCATGGGGCCCCTGTGTCCTTGCCCAAACTAAAAAAAAAGACTATAAAAAAGGTACCAGGGGCATCTCATGGGGCCCCCTACTGACTCCCGGGCCCTTGGGCAGTGCCCGAGTTTCCAAATGGTCAGTCCGCCCCTGGGTGTGAACCTAGACTTATGCTTTTGTTATCTGAATATGATTTGGGGAAAATCTGGCAGGTATATAAAAAAGGCTTTTTGTCCAGTTATATGTTAGAGTCACTCCACGCATAGTTTTCTCATTTTATTTAAATATATATATAATGCTCATTATTCAGTGGATCTGTTATAATCCAGCAATAGAGCTGGGCACACACACACGGTTTGTTTTTTTTGGGGTTTTTTTTGCATTCAACTAGCGGAAAAAGCAAAAAAAAGAAACTGACAGATCCAAGTGATGTTGATGCAGGGATCTTTCCCTCTAAAACAGAGGTTCTCAACCTTCCTAATGCCGCGACCCTTTAATACAGTTCCTCATGTTGTGGTGACCCCCATCCATAAAATTATTTTCATTGCTACTTCGTAACTGTATTCACATCAACCACAGCTGAATACAAAACGACCGATCAGCATCCAGATTAAGTTCCCATGGTACAGATATTTTTTTTTTTTTGCAGTAGTTGATGATTTTACATTTACCCAGTAATTATAATTCATGAAGTGTCGTTTTAACTACAATACTACTGCTTTCTACACAGTAGCTGCTTTCTACACAGTACCTGCTTTCTACACAGTAGCTGCTTTCTACACAGTACCTGCTTTTCTACACAGTAGCTGCTGCTTTCTACACAGTAGCTGCTTTCTACACAGTACCTGCTTTCTACACAGTAGCTGCTTTCTACACAGTAGCTGCTTTCTACACAGTAGCTGCTTTCTACACAGTAGCTGCTTTCTACACAGTAGCTGCTTTCTACACAGTACCTGCTTTCTACACAGTACCTGCTTTTAACAGAGTAGCTGCTTTTAACAGAGTAGCTGCTTTCTACACAGTAGCTGCTCTTTACATATGTGTGACTGGTCCACTTAAGTACATTATGGCGCCAACCCTGTCACATACACCTGTATTTGTACGGGGTGTATGTGACCGTGTTGGCGCAATGATGTCATCACGCTGGGTACTCGTATGTGGGCGTATCTGCATGTGGGCGGACCCGCCTGAAGACGGATAGAGGAGCGGTGTCTCGGTTCCTAAGACCATCGGAAATATGTGTTTTCCAATGGTCTTAGGCAACTCCTGTGAATGGGTCGTTCGACCCCCAAAGGGATCGCGACCCACTGGTTGAAAACCGCTGCTCTCAAACATTACATTCTGACACCCCCCATCTGCACCAGAATACGCAGATCAGCATTGCACCTATCGACTGCAAGCTCTGATCAAATACTGGTTTTCTAGCATGACCATTCGTCAGATGCCAATCCTTAGACCATCTTCTCTTGAACACACAGCGATACACACGGGCCGAAAGTCAGCCAGTTCCTGCTGAACCAGCCAATTTTCAGCCTTGTGTACCGGGCTTTACTTGTCTATCCTGCCTATTCCCCGTCCATTAATTGCATTCTGGTGCCAGATTGACAACACAGAGTCTCCATTCAAATGGATATTTTATCTGGCACCCAGAAGCTCCTCCACATCACGGTTGGTAGAACCAGTGCTGCAGTCGAGCAGTTGGAGGTTAGGTTAACCACTTATGTGCTGCCCTATAGCAGAAATACTGCTACAGAGTGGCACGGGTGCGCAAAATCATGTGTGTATATATGTGATTTTGCAGTCCCGGGTAGGGGGCCCTATCCGTGCCGCCATTCACGGCCTCAACTGTCAATCACAGGGTTCCAGCAAACAAAACAGATCTCTCCCCTGTCAGCTCCTGCACACTGCTTTGTATGGCTCTGCATAGGAGAGCCATACAAAGTAGTGTGCTTACAGTGTACAGCACACAGTAAAACAACACACAGTTAACCCTTTGATCGCCCCACATGTTAACCCCTTCCTGCCCATTGCCATTAGTACAGTGTCAGTGCTTTTTATTAGCACTGATCACTGTATTGGTGTCACTGGGGATGTCAGTGACACCAAGTCAGTTCCCACCCAGTGTCAGAATGCCCGCCACAGTCCCATTATAAGTCGCTGATCACCGCCATTACTAGACAAACACTAGCAAAGACACGAGACAAGGAGCCAAAGATGACAGTCGCGGACAGCGGAGGTCCTTGGGTGAAACTAACTAACGCATTTCGGGAATCTAACTCCCTTCCTCAGAGCAGCTCTGTTTTTATGACCTTTTTGGTTGGTGAGTATGCATTTGTGATTGTATAATACATTTTCTATTTATCACGGTAATTCACGAGGAGAGTGCGCCGTTTTACTCTCTTTTTTGCCAGCATCAAGATTCCCCGATCTATACAAATAGATATATACAAACAGTAAATGAAAGAGGAACACAAAAGAAAGAGGGAGCACATCGATGGTGAAATCTGCGTGGTTACAAACATAATAATGTCACACACATAGCTACAGTGGGGAGGCCATTAGAACCGTACATTTGAAGAAAGGTGGGATGAGGTGAAATTATCCCATGGGTGCCACACTGCCTCGAACACAGCAATCGAACAGACATGTAGAGCAGTCAGGTATTCCATCTGTCTCACATCAGCAACAATTTTAAACATTGAAGGAGGTATAGGGGATAGCCAACACATAGGAATGTTTCTTCTGGCCGCAGTCTGAATATATGTGGTGAGTTTCCTGGCCATTTTGGGAAGACCTGGGAACGGCAGGCTCAATAAAAAGTATAGAGACTCAAAGGGGAGAGAGGTATGCAATAACAATTGTAAAAAGGACAAAACCTCTTCCCAGAAAGGAACAATGAATCCACAAGTCCAAAAAATGTGGAAGACGAAGCCAAAGTCTTTCCCGCAACGCCAGCAGGCGGAAGAAGCATTCGGGTTAAAGGCATGGATATCCTCGGGAGTTTTGTACCACAGCATCATAATTTTGTATGTATTTTCCTTATAAACCACACAGGCAGAAGATTTAGATGTGTTTTCCCGAATGTTCTTCCACTGCGTCAGATCAATGTCACATTGCAAAAACTGGGACCACTTGCGCATATAGTGATGAGTGTCAGAGAGGGGGGAAGCATCCATAAGAAGGTATTAGAAATGATGCCCTTTTGATGTGGACCCTGTATGCACAGACACTCAAAGGGAGTGGGTTTCCGAAGAGTCAATGTGGAGGACATGGTAGCGAAAAAGTGGCGTATCTGTAGGTAGATATATAAATGTTGGGAAGGTAAATCTTTTCTCTGGAGGTAGAATGGTTGTAGTTTCCAAGTCACAGGATGTACTAAGTGGCGTAATTGGAAGAGATTAGCTGTGACCCAAGGGAGCCCCCGGGGCATGGCCAGACTATCAGGAAGGTTGGGGTTAAAGAGGATATTAGTCAGTGGGGAGCAATATAATTTTGCAATTTCAGAAAACAACTTGTGAGACCGCATACAATATAATAACTGTCTTGTTCATGTTTAAGGACATCCCGATCGGCCACATTTTAATTCCAGGAACATGATATTTGAACTAGACCCATGTAATGGGAATGGGAAGGTGTGCCTGGTTTACAAGACTTCCAAACCAGGTAGGTTGGTGAGAATATTGTGTCATCCTTTTCTAATAAGTACACGGTTTTCATTTTTCAATCAGCAATTAAACTTTTCTCCTTCTCCCTTTCACTCACTGCAAGGGGAGGTGTTGTGTAGTCATTGAGGTCTGAAGTTTCATCTGCTTGTATGTTACCTTCCCTGGTAACCCCCCCCTATCAAATTGCTAATAAATATTAATACTTCTCGCAGTGTTTGTCAACCTACAAGGTAAAGGGAGCCTTACATGTGGCCCCAAATGTTTCCAAAGGGCCTCATATAATATTTATTAAATGTAAAGCTACAGAAAAGTGTCATAGACTAAAGCATTACTAGAGGAAATGGTCAGAGAATGATCTGTTGGAGTCTGATGTCATGCTATAGGTGACCGTCAGAGACTAGGGACATGTACCCTTTATAAACCAATCCTCCCTCTACTGACTGCTAGTACCAAGGATTGCATCTTAAACACCAAAAGGCCCCATGTAGCCCTCAGCCGCAAGTTGGGCACCAAGGTTCTAAAGGCATTAAGGGGTTACTAAACCCAGGATCCTGCATTCACTATATCCGCTCTCCCCGGACCCCGCATTCACTATATCCGCTCTCCCCGGACCCCGCATTCACTATATCCGCTCTCCCCGGACCCCGCATTCCCTATATCCGCTCTCCCCGGACCCCGCATTCACTATATCCGCTCTCCCCGGACCCCGCATTCACTATATCCGCTCTCCCCGGACCCTGCATTCACTATATCCGCTCTCCCCGGACCCTGCATTCACTATATCCGCTCTCCCCGGACCCTGCATTCACTATATCCGCTCTCCCCGGACCCCGCATTCACTATATCCGCTCTCCCCGGACCCTGCATTCACTATATCTGCTCTCCCCGGACCCTGCATTCACTATATCTGCTCTCCCCTGACCCCGCATTCACTATATCCGCTCTCCCCGGACCCCGCATTCACTATATCCGCTCTCCCGGACCCTGCATTCACTATATCTGCTCTCCCCCGACCCCGCATTCACTATATCCGCTCTCCCGGACCCCGCATTCACTATATCCGCTCTCCCCGAACCCCGCATTCACTATATCCGCTCTCCCCGAACCCCGCATTCTCTATATCTGGTCTCCCCGGACCCTGCATTCACTATATCCGCTCTCCCCGGACCCCGCATTCACTATATCCGCTCTCCCCGGACCCCGCATTCACTATATCCGCTCTCCCCGGACCCTGCATTCCCTATATCCGCTCTCCCCGGACCCCGCATTCACTATATCCGCTCTCCCCGGACCCCGCATTCACTATATCCGCTCTCCCCGGACCCTGCATTCACTATATCCGCTCTCCCCGGACCCTGCATTCACTATATCCGCTCTCCCCGGACCCTGCATTCACTATATCCGCTCTCCCCGGACCCCGCATTCACTATATCCGCTCTCCCCGGACCCCGCATTCACTATATCCGCTCTCCCGGACCCTGCATTCCCTATATCCGCTCTCCCCGGACCCCGCATTCACTATATCCGCTCTCCCCGGACCCCGCATTCACTATATCCGCTCTCCCCGGACCCTGCATTCACTATATCCGCTCTCCCCGGACCCTGCATTCACTATATCCGCTCTCCCCGGACCCTGCATTCACTATATCCGCTCTCCCCGGACCCCGCATTCACTATATCCGCTCTCCCCGGACCCTGCATTCACTATATCTGCTCTCCCCGGACCCTGCATTCACTATATCTGCTCTCCCCTGACCCCGCATTCACTATATCCGCTCTCCCCGGACCCCGCATTCACTATATCCGCTCTCCCCGGACCCTGCATTCACTATATCTGCTCTCCCCCGACCCCGCATTCACTATATCCGCTCTCCCCGGACCCCGCATTCACTATATCCGCTCTCCCCGGACCCTGCATTCACTATATCCGCTCTCCCCGAAACCCCGCATTCTCTATATCTGGTCTCCCGGACCCCTGCATTCACTATATCTGCTCTCCCCGGACCCGCATTCACTATATCCGCTCTCCCCGAACCCCGCATTCACTATATCCGCTCTCCCCGAACACCGCATTCTCTATATCTGGTCTCCCCGGACCCTGCATTCACTATATCCGCTCTCCCCGGACTCCGCATTCACTATATCCGCTCTCCCCGGACCCTGCATTCACTATATCCGCTCTCCCCGAACCCCGCATTCTCTATATCCGGTCTCCCCGGACCCCGCATTCACTATATCCGCTCTCCCCGGACCCTGAATTCACTATATCCGCTCTCCCCGGACCCTGCATTCACTATATCCGCTCTCCCGGACCCCTCATTCACTATATCCGCTCTTCCCGGACCCTGCATTCACTATATCTGGTCTCCCCGGACCCCGCATTCACTATATCTGGTCTCCCCGGACCCCGCATTCACTATATCCGCTCTCCCCGGACCCTGCATTCACTATATCCGCTCTCCCCCGACCCCGCATTCTCTATATCTGGTCTCCCCGAACCCCGCATTCACTATATCCACTCTCCCCGGACCCTGCATTCACTATATCTGGTCTCCCCGGACCCCGCATTCACTATATCCGCTCTCCCCGGACCCCGCATTCTCTATCTCTGGTCTCCCCGGACCCTGCATTCACTATATCTGGTCTCCCCGGACCCTGCATTCACTATATCTGGTCTCCCCGGACCCTGCATTCACTATATCCGGTCTCCCCGGACCCTGCATTCACTATATCTGGTCTCCCCGGACCCCGCATTCACTATATCCGCTCTCCCCGGACCCCGCATTCTCTATCTCTGGTCTCCCCGGACCCTGCGTTCACTATATCTGGTCTCCCCGGACCCTGCATACACTATATCTGCTCTCCCACAGTACTCTGAACACAGAAGTGCAATTATTTTAGTAAATATATGCTTAGTTTACTAAATATATGCTAAATACCTTTTCTTATCAGCAGTTAGAGCAGTCTTGTGACTTCAGCTGAGCACTGGTTAAAGCTTGGAGGAGTTTTCTTTAGGAGGATGTAAAACCCCTGACCTCTGAATGGACGGTGCTGATTGGCCCTGTGCTGATCACATGCACTCTCCCAAGAAAAAAAAAACCTCTCTAGCAATACACACGAAACTGAGTATGAGCATGTGGCTACGGGTTCAGTTTGTCTTATCAGGAGATAAGACGTGGACATTTGAACAAGAGGAGGGGCAGAGAAGACAGGATCAAACGGCCTTTTTACACAATGCAGAGGATTAACCCCTTAGGTTCCACAGTGAATATAACAAGCATGCTTTGCTGCATATACAGACTGATTGTACTGTTGTGGGTTTAGTAACACTTTAATAGATTTTCTGCATTAAGGTAAAAAAAAAAACTTCCATAATCAGCTCCTGCCAGCCCCCTCTTTAAGTGGAGGTCCAGTCAGAATTTAAAAAAACACATCAACAGCTACAAAAACTGTAGTTGCTGACTTTTAACAAATGGACACTCACCTGTCCCTCGATCCTGCGGTGTCCTCACACTGGCCAGGTTGACTGACTGTCCTGCTTCCTCGACGCCGGCATCTTTAGTGTGGGCACCCGGCTGTGACAACTTGCGGCTTCACATCCGGGTGCCCACTGCACATGCGTGAGTAGCGCTGCACTTTGTAAATGGCCCCGTAGTCTTCTGGGACCTGTCACATGTCCCAGAAGGGGAGGGAGGAGGAGGGGACAACTGCCGCTTCCAATCGCTAGGCAATCACAGCGGATGTGGGAGTGGGGTCATGTCACATTCGGGTAATCCCCACCAGAGAGTGCATTAAGGTAAAAAAAAGTTTAACCCTTAAAACCACTTTTAATTTAAAAAACAGGCCTTTACAACTGCCTTAAAGGATAAATTCACCTTAGAACATGTTACATGTTCCACCCGTTTTTAGGGTTAGAACATGTATCATGCTCCCATAGCCGCAGCCACGCCTGCCGACTTCCCTCCCTCTGACAGTTAGTACGGAGAGACGGTTCCTCGTGCAGGGAGAAGTTTCCGCGTACGGGGAGTTTTCTAGTTCGTGGAGAAGTTTCCTCGTACGGAAAGAAGTTTCCTAGTATGGGGAGAAGTTTCCTAGTACGGGGAGAAGTCTCCTAGTTTCCTCGTGCGGGGGGAAGTTTCCTAATACGGAAGAAGTTTCCTCATACGGGGAGAATTCTCCTAGTTTCCTCGTATGGGCAGAAGTCTCCTAGTTTCCTCGGTTGGGGAGAATTCTCCTAGTTTCCTCGTACGGGCAGAAGTCTCCTAGTTTCCTCGTACGGGAGAAGTCTCCTAGTTTCCTGGTACTGGGAGAAGTTTCCTCGTGCAGGGAGAAGTCTCCTAGTCTCCTCGTGCAGGGAGAAGTCTCCTAGTTTCCTCGTGCAGGGAGAAGTCTCCTAGTTTTCCTCGTACAGGGAGAAGTCTCCTAGTTTCCTCGTACGGGGAGAAGTCTCCTAGTTTCCTCATACGGGGACAAGTCTCCTAGTTTCCTCGTACAAGGAGAAGTCTCCTAGTTTCCTTGTACGGGGAGAAGTCTCCTAGTTTCCTAGTTTCCTTGTACAGGGAGAAGTCTCCTAGTTTCCTTGTACAGGGAGAAAGTCTCCTATTTTCCTGGTACGGGGAGAAGTCTCCTAGTGTCCTGGTACGGGGAGAAGAAGTCTCCTAGTTTCCTTGTACGGGGAGAAGTCTCCTAGTTTCCTTGTACGGGGAGAAGTCTCCTAGTTTCCTTGTACGGGGAGAAGTCTCCTAGTTTCCTCATGCAGGGAGAAGTCTCCTAGTTTCCTGGTATTGGGAGAGGTCTCCTAGTTTCCTGGTATTGGGAGAAGTCTCCTAGTTTCCTGGTATTGGAGAAGTCTCCTAGTTTCCTCATGCAGGGAGAAGTCTCCTAGTTTCCTCATGCACGGGGAGAAGTCTCCTGGTTTCCTCATACGGGGGAGAAGTCTCCTAGTTTCCTCATGCAGGGAGAAGTATCCTAGTTTCCTCGTGCAGAGAGAAGTCTCCT